AGTCTGAGGTAGTTCCCCTGAAGTGCCTTCCCTATGCTAACTGGAATTGTCTCAGCCAGAAGAATGATCCATCTGCCTATTGTTTTCCAGGTATTGCTCTCTAGGAGCAGTAACTGCAGTCCCTTCATGCAGGACACTTTCTGGAGATTAGTGATTAGGCAGTGGTAATGGCTCACAGCTGTGCTCTGAGCACTCAGCTCAGCCCAGCCCAGCCTGTCATTATTCCCTAGAAAATTACCCTGCCCTTTGAAGATACATTTTAATGCAAAAAAAGAATTATAAAATTAAATATGGATTTATGTCCTTAAATTTGTAGTGAGCTGTTGAGGACATCCAGCATAAGAATACATCTGGATCTTATGTCAACAACCCACCAAAACCAAAATGTTTTTAAAATAACTCTGTTCTGAATGGATGTAATCCTGTTTGCACAGAATTCAGTGGGAGTGCTTCCTAAAGCATCGTTTAACAACATGGCAAGTGAAAATTAGCTGCTTGTCTTTTCATAGCATCACAGAATCTTAAGGGTTGGAAAGGACCTCAAAAGACCATCCAGTCCAACCCTCCTGCCAGGCAGGATCACCCAGAGCACATCACACAGGAACGTGTCCAGGGGGGTTGGAATGTCTCCAGAGAAGGAGACTCCACAGCCTCTCTGGGCAGCCTGTCCCAGGGCTCTGTCACTCTCACAGCAAAGAAGTTTTTTCTGATGTTTACCTGGAACCTCCTGTGTTCTAGTTTGCACCCACTGCTCCTTATCCTGTCACTGGACATCATTGAAAAAAACCTGGCTCTGTCCTCCTGACACTGCCCTGAACAGATTTGTGCCCATGGATGAGGTCACCCCTCAGTCTCCTCTTCTCCACACTAAAGAGACCCAGCTCCCTCAGCCTTTCCTCATCAGGGAGATGTTCCACTCCCTTCAGCATCTTTGTAGTAGTTTTATCCTTCTGCAAACCAAGGAAAGCTGCCTGGTTAGTGATACAAATATTAATTCTCAGGTTGGTTTGTAGTTGTTAGCCTGGTTTTTGTAATGTGTAAAATAGTTTGTTGATGAGTGTGTATTTGAGCTATTTTTCTAGTATTATCAAAAAATACTATAGGTTCTTACATGAGTGGACTTCAGATATTCTTAAATGAGGGATTTTTAATGGCACATCACTTGCTAAGTACACAGAAATTTCATTGATTTCCTAGATGAAACTGTTCTGTATTGTTCATGTGTTTTGATCTCTGTGTGCATGTTTCTTTTTATTTTTCTGCACTTCCAAGACCAATTAGTAGACATTCTTATTGTAGTTTGTTTTTTGTTCTGAATGTAACTGAAATTCATGTCGGTGCACACACTAAGCTAGTCAGTCAGACCAGTCCTTATGTCCACTGCTTTTTCAGAACCACCACTTGTATGTACACATAACAGAAAATAATGTTGTTACTTTCTGCTCCCCAGTGACGTGGCATACTTCTTCATGTATTTAAAATACATCTTCGGTTTACAATTTGAAATTATCATTTCTATGTGTGTGGCCAAACTAACGTATCAAGTGGTGGTTCTGACTTGAGAGTTAGTCCTTCTGTGTATTAACACCTTCTTTCTTCTCTGTCTTTCTCGGTCGTTTCTGTTCCTGCTGGCTTTCCTCTGTCAATTCTCCAATGCTGCTCTGTAAATAAAATTAACAAATGACAAACCCAACCACCACCGTAGTTATCCCCATTTGTCCCCGTTCAGCATCTTGCAGCCCCCTCAGCCCTCTGTCCTACAAGGCCACCAGCTGCAGGCATCCCATGGACCGAGCCAAGCTCTGCGCCTGCGCCGACGCGGCGGGACTGCGGGGAGCGCGGCGGGCGGGGGTAAGTGGGTGACCAGGGGGTGAGTGAGTGACTAGTGAGGGACCAGAGAGTGACCAGGGGGTGAGTGAGGGACCAGAGAGTGACCAGGGGGTGAGTGAGTGACCAGTGAGGGACCAGAGAGTGACCAGGGGGTGAGTGAGTGACCAGGGGGTGGCCAGGGGGGTGAGTGAGTGACCAGGGGGTGGCCAGGGGGTGAGTGAGTGACCAGAGGGTGACCAGGGGGTGAGTGAGTGACCAGGGGGGTAAATGACCAGAGAGTGACCAGGGGGATAAGTAAGCCAGCCAGTCAGGGTGAGTGAGTGTGCCAGGGGTGTGAGCGAGCCGGGGGGCAGCTCTGCCTCCTACCCAGCCCCCTGTGGGGGCACCTGGCCAGCTCTGACCCTCCTCTCCTGCTGGTTCTGTGGTTGGCTGGATTTTAACTGAGATGTTGCTGTGTGATGACCTGGCTGATTGTGCACCCAAGCATCCCCGTGGAAGAGCCCCCAGAGGGGCTGCCTCAGCTGCTCAGGGGCCAGGGAGGCACTTGGGGTGTGTGCCCTCTTCTCAGGTGGGTTCTTTGCTGCCTTGTGAGGCCCGAGCTGGTGATGCAGCTTTTCCTGCAGTGGGGAATCTGTGTTTATCCGCAACCTGTTTTCACAAAGCCTGTAGATTCCTCTCTCCTGAGGCCTCTAGTAAATCTCAGCTGAGCCTCTGGGCTCAGAGGGAAGGCCTGAGCTCACACGTGTCCCTGTACATAAGCAGTCAGAGCTCTGTCCCTCCAGCTTTACTTAGGAGACCAGGCCAGGGAACTGTTCTTCCTTGAGAAGGAAGGGGTTGGTTTAGAGGTATGGTTTGTAATCAAGGCTTCCACAGGTTCTGAATGGTTTGGTCACAGTGCTATGACCTGGGCTTTCAGGGGAAGTCAGAAGTGGGGGACAGGCAGACTGAGTCTGTGTTGTGCCCCAGTGGGATGCAGTCAGCTCCAATTCCAGTACCCTGTGCTGAACCTGAGCAGTTAGGTTTTTCCTGAACTCTGCAGCCTGAGTTTGTTGAGTGTGAGAAGAGGGAAGTCATTTCTGCCAATGAACATACAAGAGGTGCTTGCATTTTCATTGGGCCTGATGGGCAGAATGTTGACATCCTTGCTGGGAGCAGCGTTAATGGAGCCTCAGGAGCCCCTGCCAGCCCTCAGCCTCAGGCAGCTGGAGGTGAAGTCAGGCTCAAGGGCAGGCACAGCACTGGGGTGTCCCTGCAGAGGGGTCCCAGGGGGTACGTAGTGCATCACAAGCCCCAGCCTGGGCCATCAGTTTAGCACCTCTTGGTCTTCCTCACTGTGTGTGTTTTGGGTGTGGTTTGGTTTTGTTTGCTTGGTTATTTCACTTAGAAAGGTTGATACATTTTGGTGGAGACAACATTAAAATGTTATTTATACAAAATGACTGAGTTAAGAGCTATTTCCAGCAGCGTGTGTGGTTTGGAGAATTTTTTACTCTTCTGTAAACTTTTACAGAAATTCAGTTTTTTTACTTTTCTGATATTCAGCAAAATATTCTGATGGTCTTATTTTCAAGACTAATGAAGTAGGTCCAGTATAGTTATTGCTAGCAAGCCAAAATTATTCTACATTGCAGTGTGTCTAGTCTTTGAAGACTTAGGTGATTATCAGCATAATAATCAGTAGATATCTTGTAAATTACACTGCCAAAGAGCTGGCTAATTACTCTTGAGTAGTGACTTCAGGATTGAGACCATCTATTGCTAATGTTAAATTATGCTTTTGGCAATTTAAAATCACTAAGCATAATGAAAAAAAAATAAAAATCCTCTTGGATTGATGAATTTAAACCAAGGGCTTATGTGCTGATTAAGTTGACTTGGTTTTTAACTTGGCTTTTGGTTCAGGAGACAAGCATTGCAGAGCTCTCAGCTGCTGAGGCTCTCGAGGAGCGAGGTGCACATGCCCAGCCACAGCATCATGTGGGCTGAGTGGCACCTGGTGTACTCTCCTGGGAGTTCTTCCATTGAACTCTAGATTGAAAAATTCATGGTTTTTGGAACGATGAGCTCGGAGCCTAGGAGCCTGAAGAGCTCCTAGGAGAGTACACCCACCAAGGTGCCACTCAGCTAACATGGTTGAGAGGGACTGCTACTCACCACTGTTCTTCAGACTCCTGGGGTCTGAGCTCATTATTCCAAAAACTTGAAGTTTTTAATCTAGAGTTATATGGAAGAATTATATAAATGCTTCCTTTAAACCAATAGTTTTATTAATACAAACCAGAGCCATAACATAAATATATTCAAAAATGAAATCCTGAGACTGCAAATGAAGAAGGATAAGAGGAAATCACTGCCATGTATGAGAATCAATGGGAAAGAACTATGTACTGTGGAATCAGTCATTCAAGAAAAAAAGAACAGGGTAATTTGCACCACATCTGAGGACTTTGAGGGCATCTGTGGTGTTACCATGAAAGCAAAAAGGGACTGTGACCAAATGCAAGCCTAGGGGAGTGTGGGGTGGAGGGAATATTCTGCTCTTTCTTCAAATGATATCCAGGCTTGAAGGGGACTGACCAGTGCAGGTGCTCTGTGGCAGGCAGCAGAGAACAACCCTTAAAAGGTATTTTTTTTTGCCTGTGTAAAAATTGGCCTCTGCAAATTAGCCCATTACATCTTAAGACAGTGGAGAGCATGATTAAGAAGCATTCTTGTTGTCAAACGCATCTTTACTGACAAAGTTGGTGGCAGATTACTGGAGCTCTATTAGTGAACTTGTTAACCAGGCTGCAGAAACTACTGGCTCAGCACTGCTTCTTCTCAGCCCCTCAACCCCTTGTCCTTAACTGAGCTTGCTTTACTTTCCTTAGCCATGTGAACTCTGGCTTGACTTTGTCTTTTTGTTCACTCAACTATAGACTGACAAAAGAGAAAAAGAGAGAGACCATTTGTCATCCAGCTTCTCAGCCAGCTTTAAAGGAGGTCATTTTTCTTCCAACCCCAAAGCTAGATCGCCAGCTCCCTCTCCAGTTTGGTAAGCCAAGTACACGCTTAGCTGGAAGTTGAGCTGTAGGCAGCTCTGGGTGTTCTGTTAATTGTGAAACAGTGCAGACTTGCTTGGTGATGTGGATGTTTCCTCTCTGCAGCAAAGGAAAGACAATCTTGCTTTTAGGGAAGTATTACTATTGCTTGGAGGAAGGGGAAGGAGGAGGAAGTTACCTGGTTTCTTCCCTCTTGACTGGGCTTGGTGCTCACACATCTGGAGAGTTGCAAGGAGCAGCATTGTGCATGAAAGCTCAAGGGTTTCTCCAGCAGTCCTGATTGACAGCAGAGAAATAGTGAAGTTGTTTTAGCTATTTTAGTTGTAGAAGGGATATGGAGGTGGTGTCCAGCAGACCATGTCTGATACTGACTGTCTCTTCTTGTGGTTACACAGGCATGCATCCAAGTCTTTGCCTTTTTTGCCTGGCACACCTACTGGCTCAGCACTGCTTCTTCTCAGCCCCTCAACCCCTTGTCCTTAACTGAGCTTGCTTTACTTTCCTTAGCCATGTGAACTCTGGCTTGACTTTGTCTTTTTGTTCACTCAACTATAGACTGACAAAAGAGAAAAAGAGAGAGACCATTTGTCATCCAGCTTCTCAGCCAGCTTTAAAGGAGGTCATTTTTCTTCCAACCCCAAAGCTAGATCGCCAGCTCCCTCTCCAGTTTGGTAAGCCAAGTACACGCTTAGCTGGAAGTTGAGCTGTAGGCAGCTCTGGGTGTTCTGTTAATTGTGAAACAGTGCAGACTTGCTTGGTGATGTGGATGTTTCCTCTCTGCAGCAAAGGAAAGACAATCTTGCTTTTAGGGAAGTATTACTATTGCTTGGAGGAAGGGGAAGGAGGAGGAAGTTACCTGGTTTCTTCCCTCTTGGCTGAGCTTGGTGCTCACACATCTGGAGAGTTGCAAGGAGCAGCATTTTGCATGAAAGCTCATGGGTTTCTCCAGCAGTCCTGCTTGACAGCAGAGAAATAGTGAAGTTGTTTTATTTTTAGCTATTTTAGTTGTAGAAGGGATATGGAGGTGGTGTCCAGCAGACCATGTCTGATAGTGACTATCTCTTCTTGTGGTTACACAGGCATGCGTCCAAGTCTTTGCCTTTTTTGCCTGGCACACCCAAGCAAATAACTTCCCCCCCTGGCTCCTCCACAGTTTCCTCTG